AAGGAGATCACAGGAAGCCTGACTCCTTCCAGGGCCTCATCCCCCCTCCCCCCCGCATCTGGTCTAGGAGGGTGGTGCTAGGTGGACCCAACCAGCCCTAGTGGTGGGGCTGTCACAGGGGTTGAAGGTCAGGAATCAGGGCATTTCTGGGCCCCAGTACCTCCAGCCAGGAGACCACGGTGGGGCCATCCCAGGCAGCAAAGGGCAGGCCCTGGCGGCAGGCCTCCTCCAGCAGTTCATGCCTGGGAAGAGGGGGCCAGGGCAGGAGCTCTCAGGGGCGGAGACACCCAGCCCTCCTGGGTGGCCCCCTTCACCACAACCCCCTCTCAAAACACTTGTTATGAGTGTAGGAAACCTGGCAGGAGGTTCCAACAAAACGCATGTGGATCTTTGTAAGTCCCCCCCTCCCCCCCCACTCCCACACTCACTTCCTCTTGTTTCTGCGGTCCTTGTCTCCTGGGCCTGTCAGCTTGGCTAGCCCCAGAGGGTCGGCGGCCAACGTCTCATCTGAGGGTGTTCCAGCTGGAGGCAGGGAGGGGCCAAAATTTGGAGAGTCTCAGGGGGAAGCAGACTATTTCATGCTGGGGGTGGTGAGAAGGAAGCCAGGAGACCAGAGGCCCCAAGGGAATAGTCAATGAGGCCACAGAGAGGGAGTGATCGAGCCAGACAGGGACCAATGTCACCTCCCAGGCAATAAATTGGAGATAACCCCAAAATAGGGCATCCATTGGCCTGGCCTTGTCAGGGTGGCAGTGGTGTGCTGGCAAGTGTTTAGCTGGCCCCGTGAGGAGGAAGGAGCTATTCCTTGATTTGTAGCCTTTGCCCATCTCTATGGTGTGAATAATCCCACTGTGCCGATTTCAAGCTGCCAATGTGATGTCAAGCAACTCACAAAATGCCTGAAAATTTAACTACTGGCTCTCACAAGCCGATACAAGAAGGCTCCAGCACACCAGGTGCTCTGCCTTTAGGATTCGCCTCCCTAAATGGGAAATGACATAACAATATGATTTAGCCCTCCAGTCACTCAAGCAGGCCACGGAGGGCTCTTTCTGCCCCCCACCCCCAACCCTACCCTGCCTTCCTCTGCCAAGTTCTGTCCCTTCTACATTGTAAATGAATTACCAAATCAATGAGGACATGAATGAATGTCAAGTGAATATGTAAAGAAGAAGGAAGAAACAAAGGAAGGATGGAAGGATGGAAGGAAGGAAGGAAGGAAGGAAGGAAGGAAGGAAGGAAGGAAGGAAGGAAGGAAGGAAGGAAGGAAGGAAGGAAGGAAGGAAGGAAGGAAGGAAGGAAGGAAGGAAGGAAGGAAGGAAGGAAGGAAGGAAGGAAGGAAGGAAGGAAGGAAGGAAGGAAGGAAGGAAGGAAGGAAGGAAGGAAGGAAGGAAGGAAGGAAGGAAGGAAGGAAGGAAGGAAGGAAGGAAGGAAGGAAGGAAGGAAGGAAGGAAGGAAGGAAGGAAGGAAGGAAGGAAGGAAGGAAGGAAGGAAGGAAGGAAGGAAGGAAGGAAGGAAGGAAGGAAGGAAGGAAGGAAGGAAGGAAGGAAGGAAGGAAGGAAGGAAGGAAGGAAGGAAGGAAGGAAGGAAGGAAGGAAGGAAGGAAGGAAGGAAGGAAGGAAGGAAGGAAGGAAGGAAGGAAGGAAGGAAGGAAGGAAGGAAGGAAGGAAGGAAGGAAGGAAGGAAGGAAGGAAGGAAGGAAGGAAGGAAGGAAGGAAGGAAGGAAGGAAGGAAGGAAGGAAGGAAGGAAGGAAGGAAGGAAGGAAGGAAGGAAGGAAGGAAGGAAGGAAGGAAGGAAGGAAGGAAGGAAGGAAGGAAGGAAGGAAGGAAGGAAGGAAGGAAGGAAGGAAGGAAGGAAGGAAGGAAGGAAGGAAGGAAGGAAGGAAGGAAGGAAGGAAGGAAGGAAGGAAGGAAGGAAGGAAGGAAGGAAGGAAGGAAGGAAGGAAGGAAGGAAGGAAGGAAGGAAGGAAGGAAGGAAGGAAGGAAGGAAGGAAGGAAGGAAGGAAGGAAGGAAGGAAGGAAGGAAGGAAGGAAGGAAGGAAGGATGGAAGGATGGAAGGAAGGAAGGAAGGAAGGAAGGAAGGAAGGAAGGAAGGAAGGAAGGAAGGAAGGGGTAGAATCGGGGTACTCACCCAGAGAGGAACTGTCCCGTCCTGGTGGTCCCATTCGCCCCTTCTCCTTCTTGCCAAAGAGACGACCTATGGATGACTTGATGCTCTTCTTCTTGGGGGCTTTGTGCAGGGAATCTTGGGTGCCCTCACTGGAGGAGCAGGACAGGGTGAGGGCAGACCCCCTCTGGGATGCGTCCTTTCATCCCAAGTCTTTGTCCACTCCCATTTCATCCTCCCGAGCAAGCCCATCCCTGTCCCATCTCTTGTCCCTGCTGACCTTCCCCGTGAGGGCCCCCCATCTTCCAGGGATCCTGCCTGCAGTGCCAAGGCCTGGGTCATTCTCTCTAGGCGGGCAGAGCGGGGCGTGGGAGGCGGGGTGTCTCCTGGGATGGCTGGCCCCTCCCCTCGTGGAGCCCCAGCTTCATCCTTGGGGACATGATTCTGGGGATAGAGAAGTAGAGAGGCTGGATTAAGTTGGAGTCATATTGCGGGTTCCTCATTAACTAAAATATCTACTGGGGAATGTATGAGGCATCCCTGGTTTGGGGAACCATTTCTGAAGGTAGCCTAGGCCAAGTGGGATGAAACGTAAAGCGAAAGATTACAGTCCCACCGGAGCTAAAGCCCATATTGATAGTTTCATAGCTTATGGTGTCAGAAGTGGGATCTGTGTGGCCCCAAGGAAAGCCACTAGGTTACAGGTTCTGAAAGCAGAAAAGCTTGGGTTTCGGGCAATAAAATAAGATTAATATCCGTTATGCATCCCTCAAAGGTTAATTATGAGGATATAATGGCAGTTCTCAAACGTATGTTCAGTCACAGAAGCATTTTTTAAAAATCACTTGCAGAAACGTAATGCATAAAACTGGTAAAGGTAGACCAGATCTAACTAAAATACAAGTTAGGATTCAGGAGCCCAGTGGCTCAGTCCTCCCTTTGCCCTTTGAGTTGGGATTTTTAGGGAAGATGAGGTTGCTTTTGAAAACCACTGGTGTGAGAAGTTATTGTTGCTAGCTGTTGGGGAACCCTGTTTCTGACCTCCTACCCACCCCACCAAGCTAAGGAGACTTCAGAACACTTACAGCTTTGTCGGCGCCCTCACGGGCAGGACTAGGGGGTGCCAGACGGGGTGTTGAGTGACCGGAGCTGGGAGGGGAAGGACTGGCAAGGGTAGAGGTGGTGAGGGAGGGGGGCAGTGAGCAGCTACTGCGGTAGCGGCCCAGTGAGTCCAGGGCAGAGCCAGATACCCGGCTCTCCAGTTCTTCTGCCCTTTGTTCTGTTGTCTCCTTCTCCTCTTGGATTAGCCTGAGGAGGGAAAGGGGGAGACTGGTGAGAGGACTGAGGCAGACGATGGGAGAGGGAGTCTGAGGATCCCAATGAGCCAGAAAGCTTAGGGAGGCAAAAATAATTCTGAAGAAGGCATAATGAGGTTAGAGGGTCTTGGTGGATTCGTGATGTGAATCCACCAAGATTCAAGGGGGGTTAGGGGTCATGATGGGCTCAGGAGGTCAGGGAAGTAGATTAGAGACAATGATCAGGGTCTGCATCAGGATGACCCTGATGATAACCAAGTGGTTCTGGAAAATCATAAAGGGATTTTTTTATGGGAAAGAGATCAAGTTTCAAGGAGGACAACAAGAGCAAATTCATAAGATCCAGATGAGATCTGGGATTCAGAGGTCAACCTAGGATCTGGGAAAGTCTTAGAATCACTTTGTATATGAGAGTTGATTACTCAAGTCAGAACAAGTTTGAATGGAAGATGGTAGTCATGTTGGTATATTTGCTGGGTCCATGGAGGGTGTATTATTAGAGAACTAGAGGCCTGGTACACGAATTCGTGCACGGGTGGGGTCCCTCAGCCTGGCCAGCGATTGGGCTGATCAGGGCCATATGGTGGGAGGTTGGCCGGCTGGGGGGAGGGTCCTCGGGAGGTTGGCTGTGGGAGCACACTGACCACCAGGGGGCAACTCCTGCATCGAGTGTCTGCCCCCTGGTGGTCAGTGTGTGTCATAGCTACCAGCCAGTCATCTGGTCATAATGGTCACTTAGGCTTTTATATACAGTGGGGCCTTGACTTACGAGTGTCCCGACTAACGAGTTTTTTGAGATACCAGCTTTCTCTCGGCCGATTTTTTGCATTGAGTTGATAGAGTAATTTGAGTTAACGAGCTCCTTAAGGAGCTCGGTCTCGGAACGAATTAAACTCGTAAGTCAAGGCCCCACTGTATATAGATTGCTAAATAAGATAGTTACTGGGGAATTGGGGTGTACTTTATATAATGGGTGAGTCTTCATAAGTTGAGAATTCTTGTTATATATTATCTGTTGGGTAGAAATTCTTGGTATGGAGAATTGCAGTTCTTGATGTGTTAAAGTGAGGCTCTTGGCGTTTTGGGATGGGGTGCTTGTGTTGAGAATCTTGGGGGACCAGGATTCTCTGGGTACTGTTTGTGTGAAGCCATTAAATCCATGGTGTCCTGGAGGATTGTTGATGTACTGGATTGAGAATTTTGGTATTTGGAGGTTTAGTCTTTGCTGTGTTGGGAAATTGTGAGTACTTAACTGAGGGATATATATATGTATATCTCATATACGAGACTCCTGGGGGATCCCTGGATACTGGAGGGAATGTCGGGCTGGGAAAAATCCCTTGAGGACCGTGGGAGAGGAGATAGGCTCTGGCCTTCACAGCAGACTCCACAGCGAGGGGGGCTGTGGACTGAGCCCAGGCAGGGCCGAGCCGCGGGACGGGGCCGGTGCTCACTTGATCTCCTTGTTGATCGCTTCCAGCTGCTCCTGCAGCATGATGGCCAGTGTCTGCACATCGGCCTGCCCGCTGGGGGAGAGCAGCTCAGCCCCAAACATCCCCTCCGCCTCCTCCTCATCTGAGCCATCCAGTTCCCCGGGAAACGGGGGCGGCATGGACCCCGCAGGGGCGGACCGCTCCCACTCCTGTGTCTGTGTGGAGAGAGGGGCCCCCGGTGGGCAGGGGAGGAGATTGGCCCTGGGTTGTCCTTCACCTCTCCTGACCTGGCCCGCCCTCCGGACCCCGCCCACGTCCGACACTGACTGCCCCCACCCTGTGATGGAGCCCTCACCTTTTTCCAGCTCTGCTTTGTCTCTTGATGGTCCCTTTCCTGAACCACCCCAACCCCCTGATTTCACTGTTTTCTTTGGCTCAACTCACTCACTTTCTTCACTTAACCCCACCCATTCTAAGATGCTACACCCTGCCCACCATCCCCCGGAACCCGACCCCCTCACCACCCCATCATTCCTCTAAGGTTCTCACCAGGCAGCGGGATTTCCACGAAGAGACATCCAGGCACGTGGGGAAGAGGGAGTTGTGGGAGAAGGACAGAAGACAGCATGGGTCCGGGAGACCCTGCTTCTCAGCCCGGCCCCCTCCCGAGCCCCGACCGATAGACCCCAGTTCCCACTGTTGCCCGCCCAAGCCCTGCTCAACCCAGGCCCCAGCAGTGGCTGCTGACCTTGGAGGGCTCATCCTTGACCCCTGACCAGCGGCTCCTCTTGCCTGCTCGGCCACTGCCAGCCCCATAGGGGTCCAGGTGGGCACCGGAAGGTAACGTAGGTGCCTGGGAATAACGGAGCTCCAGGGCGCTGCCAGGGAGAGACCTGTGGGCATGGAGAAGACAGTCAGAGCCCTGGCTGGTGTGGCTCAGCTGGTCCAGTGCTGTCCCGTGCCCTGAGAGGTCATCGGTTCCATTCCAGTCGGGGCACATGCCCAGGTTTCAGGTTCAATCCCTGGTGGAGGGGGGGTATGCAGGAGGCAGCTGATCGATGTTTCTCTCTCTCTCTTTAAAAAGCAATAAAAAAATATATTTTAAAAAATATTAATAAAGAAGAAGGCAGAGACTAAGGGGTCAAGAAAAGAAGAGCTGAGCCCTGGTCAGTGTGGCTCCGTTGGTCAAGCGCTGTCCTGTGTACTGAAAGGTCACAGGCCTGATTCCTGGTCAGGGCACATGCCTGGGTTGTGGGCTCGATCCCCCATAGGGGGCATGCAGGAGGCAATCCAATGATGCTATCACATCACATTGATGTTTCTCTTTCCCTCTCCCTTCCCCTCTCTCTAAAAAAATCTATTTAAAATTTTTTTTTAAAAGAAAGAAAAGAAAGCTGAGGTAGGAAAGGGCCTTTGGTCAGGAGATTAAGAGAGGGGTCTGAGGTCAAAGGTCAGGGAAAAGGATCTGGTAGTCAGTGGTCATGAAGTCAGGGGTCAAAACTAAAAGAGATCCGTGGAAGTCTCCGGAAGACAGGCAGCGGGTGCAGTGGGTGTCGGGGAGGCCTAGGGATCAGAAAGGATGAGCCTGGCCAAGGGGGCCCGTGGGGAGAGGGGGGCAGGAGCGCTGCTGTCACCTGGAGTAGGAGGACGGAGGCCTCCCCCGCAGCTGGTCGATCTCCATCTGCATTCGCTCCATCTCCGCCAGGAGCTGCTCCTGTGGGGACGGGTCAGAGGGGTCAGGTCAGCATGTGCCCAGGGCACAGCCCTCCCAGCTGGTTCCGACCCAGCAGGGCCCGCCATTGCCCGGTCCTCCCGCCAGGCCCCGCCATACTTTGTTGAGCAGCAGCTCGTCCTGCAGTTTCTTCATGTTGGCAATCTCCTCACTCAGTGAGTTCTGTGGGGGACAGGGGTGCAGTGAGGGGGGGGGAGCCTGAGAGGGACATGGTCTGGGGGTCCGAGAGGAGCCCCATGAATGAGGTGTGCATGAATGGTGAGCTGGAGCACATGGGGGTTGTGGGTTCAAAGATGCAGCGGGGTGGGGGATCCCGTTCCTGGGAGCCCCAGAATTCCTGTGTAATCGGAGGATTCAGTTTGAGGGTCCCTAGGATAAGAGGCTTGGGGAAAAGCCAAGAACTCAGGGTACAGGTGCCCCAGAATTCAGCTCTTGGGGGGTTTAGGTGAAAGAGTGGTCCCTGCATTACGGCAGAGAAGTCTGTCGGATGCGGGAGGCCCAGGTTCAGGGGGATCTCAGATAATGGGTCTGGGGAAACGATCCGGGGCCCAGGGATTTGGGCAAGAGGTGGCCCAGGATGCAGGGTTATCAGAGTGCTGGCTTGGGGTGCACCTTCTCCTCCAGCGCCCCCATCCGCTCCTTGAGGTGAAGCTGTAGCCGTTCGTTGGACTCGCTCAGCAGTTTGTCCACTGTCTCGGACAGCCGCTTATTGTGGTCATCGTTCATCTTCTCCCGCTGCCTGGCCTGCCCCAAGGAGAAGGGGACCGAGGGTGCTCAAACCCACCTGGTCCAGAGCGGAGCCCCTGCTGAGCTCCTCCCACTGCCCCAGGCCCCGCCCCCGCCTCCAGGCCCCGCCCCTCGCCTTCGCTGCATTAGCCCGTTCGTTCTCTCACCCGCTGCAGTTCTTGGTTCTTCTCCTCCAGCTGGGCCTCCAGCTGCCTGAGACGCTCCTCGAAATTCCCATGGCGTTCCTCAGCCTAGAGAGGATGGAAGGAACCATGACATCTGACTTGGCGCCCCTGGGACCCAGGCAGGCTCCAGTCCCACTTCCTCCAAGAGAGGTACCAGGCCGGGCCTTCGTCCACGGGCGGGCCGTGTTCCTTTCCTCAGTTCATGTTCCAGGCCATCCATCCTTTCAGTCCAAACTAGAGAACTCCTCCCCCCACTCCCCCGTCCAGACCTCCAGACCCTGCCCCCATTCCAAGTTTTATCCCTTCCCCAATCCCCAGGCTCTGATTTTTCATCCAAAATCCAGGCTGCAGGTCTGCGACCCCTCCAGAATCCAGGCTCCGCCCCCTCCTCCGGGCCCCGCCCAATCCAGACTCCAGGCCCCGCCCCATTCTCCAGACCCCAGGCCCCGCCCCTCCT